GTGATAATTCCAAGCACCATGCTCATTCTCCTTACCATTTTTAATGAACTGCAAAGAGAAATGCCCCCAGAGGTTCACAGACCAAAACAAATCTCTCAAAAAGCCTGGCCATAGCTTGTCAGTGTTATCTCTGCTGAATGCTTCCAGGATATTTGAAAAGCAACTATTAGCTTCCCTGATTATCATCAGTTCTTTCCACCACATTTTAGTTAATGAATTTGTAACTTGCTTATCTGGAAACTATACTAAAGATTTTGCACTGGCTCCCTTGTTTAAGATGGTTGGATCAGTTAAGGGTCACATGTATCTCTATCAATGTCACATGGAGAGACCACACAGCTCAGCTAAGGAGCTGCTTGTCCTTAATTGGCCAATGAAACATGATGGGCATTTCCTACCTAAAATTCTCTTGTGTCCTTTAAATACACAGAGTGGCTCACCAAGGTAATTTCTAATACTTGGGCTTTATAGTCTGACTTATACTCAGGCTCCAGATTCATGAACTATCTGAAAAACTAGGATGCTATTCAGTTCTACCTTCAAAATGTAACTGGAGTCTGATTTCTCTGAAGAAATAAAGTGGGTAGAATCAGTAAACAGGCTTTTAGGTCAAAACTAGGAGAAAAACACCTCACTTCCATCACCGTTGTTACTGCAATTTCTTTGCTCAAGACACTATAGAAGTTCACTGCTATGTCTTTAAACTATGGAGAAATGAACTAGTTTGTTCATAATAGACATTCATGAAATATTTATACAATAACGAGAGGAAGAAGTAATTCCTGCAAACCCTAATGTAGGCTTGAGATGAAGAGTGCATTCCACAGATGTTAACACATTTGAGACGTAGAACATGCTCTGCAAATGTCAATGCATAGCCAGGTATGGTTGTGCATACCTCTAGTCCCAGTACTTGGGAGGCAGGGGCAAGTGAATCTGAGTTCAAGGCCTCCTGGTCGACAAGGGCAGTTCCAGAATAACCAGGAATACAGAGAAACCCCCGTCTTGAACAAAAAGCAAAAACAAACATAAAAGAAAGTCAATGTATGTTTGACACATAGAACATGTTCCACAAACACTCACTGAACACTAGTCTACTTATGGTTTCAGTGGTTTTCATGGTATAGTATGATCTTCATTCATGTAGCTGTGGAGCATACATCATCCTATCCTCTCTACCACCTGACTTTCTCAGGTGAATGACAGCACTGTGGCCTTATATTTTCCAAAGTCTAGTTTAATAAGGATTCTTAAAATGCTTTAACCTACCTTCTAGCCCACCACCCACTAGAGATGGTGGAAAGGAAAGGTTAATAGGGCAAAGGAGTATATGGACCTGTTTACAAATAGTTCTTTGAGGTGATTCCAATCTTTGTTGTCAGGATATCAGCAGTTCAGATCATCCAAATCAACAAATCAATAAGTGGTAGCTTGATCCACTTATAAACACCATTCACAAATCAGCAATGACGGTTCATTCCAGAGAAAACTTTTAGGCTCTGCCAATCGCCCAAGTCTGAGAAAGCAGCAAGAAGCCACTGGAATATTGTGAGAAGTGTTTGTCTCTACAAAGTCACAACAAATGATGATCAGCTAAGAAGGCAAGGCAAACCAATGCCAGAGCACCATCAGCAAATACCAGCAAAGGTTGTCAAGGGGAACAAATGTCCACTGTCTGTTGGCTTATACTTATATCCTTTCCAAACATCACATGTTTGCTCAAATGTCCACTCTAGCAAAATATCACATGCCCCTTTTCCAGGCAGCTTCAACAAAAACACCATGTGTCTGTTCTCAGCAAAACATCCTCCCATGTGTTGGGTTCAGCAAAAATATCCTCTAACAGAACACTTTCCAGAAAAATATCACATGACACAACTGAGTCTCCAAAGAATCAGAAATTTCCATTTCATAGCGTGGGTCAACAGAGCTCCCTATCTTAAAGATGAGGTATGAAACAAAGTTACAGTAAATAAAACAAATGTGTCCCTTTGCTGGGACAAAGTATCTGACAAAAATAAGAAGAGTGAAAGGGAAGGTTTATTCTGGCTTGCAGTTCTTGGGTGTACAATCCATAATGGCAGAGTGTACAGTGACTGCAGTATGGGGTACAGCAGTTAAGTCCCATAGCAAATGCCAAATACAATTCAGCAGCTGCAGACCAGTCCTCTAGGCAGGCAGATCATGGCATGAACCAGGAGCTACAGTCCAGTCCTTTCAACAAGCAAACACCAGGAAGTAGTAGCTCAATAGTAGATTGTAGTTCAATCCTGAAGAAACTGCCAGCCTTGACAATCGGCCTGAGACAAGGCTGTGGAAGTGGCAACTGCCACAGGAACCTCTTGGGTGAGTTTCTTTCAATGTTGGAGTTATCACAAGTTGAGCTCAACAATGCTATGTAAGGTGAACCAATACCTGCATGTCTTTAGTGAAGAATAGCAAGACAGAGCAAACCAAGGCAGTGCTCATTTCCCACTGTGGGGTCATAGTTATACTCCTTCATCAAGAATCTTTTCACGTGTCTGCTATATCTAAACACCATTTCACCTGTGTCTGCTTCAGGACGACTCTGTTTCACGTGTTTCCTTTAGGAAGATATTATTTAACTTGCATGCCTCAGCAAAACATCATTTGACATAACTAACTTTCCAAAGAACTAGAAGTTTCCAATTCATATGAGTCTATAGGGGACATTGCACATTCAAACCAGAACACCAGATATCTAACAAGACATCTAACAAGAAACAGGTGTTTGAACTTTCTTGCTCTCTTGCTGTCTGTGCTAGAAAATCAGAATGGAGCCAGCAAACCCTCTCTTACTATTCTCTTGAACATGAACATGGTTTTAGTTTGTCAACTTTCTTATTCAGCATCTTTGACCAGAAATCAAGTATGATTATTAATCGAGAGACCATTGTAATCTCACCTTGGACACAGAAAGGAACTTTCCACAAATGAGAACTATACTGTGCTTTCTATGTCCGAGTCTTTTATATACACATAATAGAGCTGCAGTTTCTTTAAGAAATACAGTCATAATTTGTATGCCATGAGATAACAGCCTTGTTCGTTTATCAGTACATTTCCCATTTTCACACATATTTGTCTACAAGAAGTAAATTGTAATAATCTGTGTTTGCATCAGATGCCCTGGGTCTGGGATTACAGACAGTTGTGAGCCACCGTGTGACTGTTAGGAGTAAAACCTAGATTTTCTACAACAGCAGCCCTTGTTGCTCCAGGCCCTAAAAAGAAAATTTTTAAAATTGACTTTTATTGAACTTGTTATTGGACAATATCATAACATACCAAGTACATTCTGACGACTGTGACCCCACTCAACTGCTCTCATCTCCCTCCCACCAATAATACCCCTCTATTCACACACTTCACGTGTGCAAGTCCCCTCCTCGAATTCCTGCCTTTTGCTTTGTTTTGATGTCGACTGAATTACACCAGGGTCATCTGTGAAATGAGTTTGGAACTGTTGACTGGAGCCTTCAAGATCCTCAGTGGCTAGACAACTGAAGACAATGATTGCCTCTCCCCATGAGTCCTCCAGTAGCCAATAGTTCAGCAGAGATTCTGTTGGCCTCATTCCATTGATTATTGATTGCTGACAGGCCTAATCTTAATCATACCCATTGCAAGGAGCTGCTGCTGCTGCTGTGGCACCATGGTTGGACTGGCTGTACCATGCCCAAAAGATAGCCCTTCACAGTCCTTCTCCCTCTTCTATTGCTTACATTCTTTCTGTATCTTCTTTTATGATATTCCATGAGATTAATATAAAGAATTATTAAGTTATCATATGAGAGCAAGTATAAAGATAGGTACAGAACTATGAAGTGTATCTTAGGGAAACTATCTAAAGAAGATAAACTTGAAAAAAAAATAGATTACCTACCACTGAAGAAACTGCAAATAGATGGCAGATTTTCCTGGTTGCATAGTCCATTTTCTGGGCAGCAGAAGCAAAATGGTAGAACACTAGGGAGACTACTGAAGACAGACACAGGTATGTACAGCTGGGAATAGGCTAGCTAAATGTAGTCTTTTAAGTTTCTTTTATTTATCAACATCTATGGAGTGCTCATTGTATAGCTTACATGTTAAACTCTAGACCCTGCCCTCATGAAGGATACAACACTGATAGAGTAAGAGAAGTTTGTTAATCAGAGGAGGAATTAATTGCTACTGGGGCAAATAAGAGAGCAGTACAGGTATGCAGGATGGATAAGCACCTGAAAGCAGTCTTTGGAGTCAGAAGAATGTGCACCAGAAAACATTTCAGCCATATCCTGAGGAATGGTGGAAGCCATGTAGCCCACTGAAACATTATTTTGACTACTTTATTTTTTCATCTGCAGATTTTTCTCTGATCATGTGTTTTATCTTCTTTTAATTGAAAGTTTACTTGCATTGAAATGACAATATATATTTACATAAAACATACATTTTAAAAACTAATAAATATTCATTCTGGATAGCTTGTAGCAACACAGGAATGGGATACTCTGTTGCTATGGTGTTATTCTGTTCACAACACTGTTCTTTTCCATGTTCTGAAGAAGAACCTACTGGGGTAGCAAAGGACCACACAGTAGCCAATATAACCAACCTCCAAACCAACATCTGGCACATCTAAGGCCAAACAGGATCCTGATTGGCTGGAGCTCCTTGGCGCTCCCAAAGCGTCTCTGTAAGAATAGAAGCCAGGAGTTCCTTGTGGCTGGAGTTATGTACTTGAAGAAACTATAGCCTAAAAATGCCAATATGCAGAGAGGAAAGAAAGGATATACTAAGAAAAAGAACAAGAATGAGAACTGAGTGGGGCAAAAAGGAAGAAAAAGAGTATAGTAGCCCAGCCCTGTAGGAGATGACCCCTTGAGGTCAGGCCAGCCTGGCCTTCTGTTACCTGCAAAGCCCTCATTAATCAGTCTCAGAAATATCTGGGTATCCAGATTCCAATTGGCAGAGCCACTGATGGAATGCATTAACATTTTCAAACAATTTAGTATTGCACACATGGTAAGAACATAACAAATATTTGTTAAACAATATAGGTTTTGAACAGTACACAGGAAACATGGGGCTTGGGTGTTTGCAGCAGTGGAAATACCCAACTGACACTATCTGGAAAGCTTCAGAAAGCTAAGCAGGAACTGGTTTGGAAATAGCAAGCACAGCACGGCTGCATGCTGTAACTTAATTATCCAGGATGAGATATGTTTGAACTCAGGTTTATTTAATAAGCGCCCTATCATAATACGTCTTCTGAAAGCCATCTTCCTGTTCCTGTGTTTTGCTCCCTCTTCCTGAACTGATGTGTTAGTAAACACCATTTGCCCGTCTTCCTGTCCGGTGATTCAGCTACTGTGGAACATCAGTCAGAAGTGTGTGTGTGTGGGGGGAGGTTGTCATCTCCTCCCAGGCCTGTGAATACATTCTCACTGTTTTATGTGTTCAAATATTATTATTTTAAAAAGCCCAACTGTCTATGCAAGCATAAGAGGGAGACAGTACTAGGTTGCCCCTTCATAATTAAAAGCAAGTGGAAGGGGAATGTGGTCTGAAGGGTTAGTGATCTAAAAGCCGAAAGTGGGCTGAGAAACTCCAGACAGGAAAAGTGCTAACAACTTCGGCAGGATATTAGATCCAGGAAGTTCCTGATGTGATCAACAATGTTACAACCGCTTTAGTATCTACCACTCATGGCTGCAGGGGAACAGACATGCAGATGAACTCTTCCAACCCAAAGTTCCCGGTCTGCCCTGTAAGTCCTCAACCTCCCTACCCCACTGTGCACAGTCTTCACTCCTGCTGAGAGATTGCTGCCCTCTTTTGTTCTGGTTAAAGGACTGTTCTGCTTCTATGTGGTTAATCTTCTTTTATTTCCACATCACTCTGATGAATCTTGATCTAACATGGCCAATGACAATGACTGTAACAGAAAGAGAGAAAAAAAAACTTCATTATTTTCTATTTTGAAACAAGGGAGAGGTGTCATCTTTGTACTGTTTTCTACTAACATTCTGTCCAAAGAATTCCCCATTAGAATACAAAACAATATGGAATGAAAGAAAAATATTCCCGTTTGAGTTGCACCTTTTAGCATTCCCTTTTTCTTTTTTTAAAAAATTGAACTACAGGAAAATGTATGAAATTACTTCGAAATTCCATTGTCTGTGATGGCTGCTTCAAGCAGGTACTAGAGACTAATCTATAGGCTTATATTTTAATAAGTATACTTAAATGCTTTAACCTCCCTTCTAGCCAACTGCCCACCAGAAGTAGCAAAAAGGAAAGTTGAATAGGGCAAAGGAAGATGTGGACCTGTTTAGAAATAGTTCTTGGGGGTGATTCCAATCTTAATTGTCAGGATATCAGCAGTTCAGTTTAGTAGTGATACCTTGATCCACTCAAAAACATCATTCATGATCAGCAATGACAGTTTGATCCAGAAGACACCTTGAGGCTTTGCCAATCACCTGAGTCTGTGGAAGCAGCAAGAAGCCACCAGATACACCACCATTTCATTGGTGCACTTCTCTCTATGATGTCATGACAATGACCAGCAAAGAGTGGCAAGGTTAACCAGTTTTACACAGCATGATCCACTGTCTGTTGGGTTAGATCTATACCCTTTCCAAACATCACATGTTCTCTCAAGCTTCTGTTCTAGCAAAACATCACAGACTGCTTCCCAAAAAACACTGCGTGTCTGTTCTTAGCAAACAACACATGATACAACTGAGTCTCCAAAGAAATCAGAATTTTCTGCTTCACTTCCCTTTCATTGTCTGACTTACCCAATCTCCTGTGAGAGCCCAAATAAGCCACCTCTAAGGGAGGAAAGGGAACAGTCTTTTCCCTAAACATAAAAACAAAACCAACCAAACAAAAACCCTCCATCATCTAAGCAGTCTGTGACAGAATCCCACCTAAAGAACATGTTTTTTAATGTCTCTGTCTCTCTCTCTCTGTCTCTCTCTCTCTCTCTCTCTCTCTCTCTCTGTCTCTCT